TGGCTCTGTCCCCACAGAGATTCTGTCCCCACAGAGTTTTTGTCCCCACGGAGGTGGCTCTGTCCCCACAGAAGCTCTGTCCCCACAGAGGTGGCTCTGTCCCCACAGAGGCGGCTCTGTCCCCAGAGGTGGCTCTGTCCCCACAGAAGCTCTGTCCCCACAGAGGTGACTCAGGCGTGTGAGGTCCCCCCTTTGCGGGAATCCCCTGCCAAGGGGAGGTGACAGCACTGCCACCGCCGGTGACCTTCCCGCCCGTTCCCACCGCTCCCAAAAAAAGGCTCCGGCCGCAGCCAAGAGCCGCAGCGTTTTCTTCCTGTTTGCAGAAARCCGCCTCGGTGTTTTTGAATTCCAGCCGCCGGTGTGACTCAGCCCTCGCTCAGCCCTCGCAAACACCGCGGAGGAGCTGCCAAATCCGCTCTCTTTTGTTTGCAGGACAAAAGAACTCCGGATCCCTCACCGGCCCCGAGGAAAGGCAGGGGCACGCCGGGTTCCAGCCCAGGGGCTCGGGATCTGCCAGGCCTGACCCAGCGGGAGGTTTAGGCTGAGTTCTGTCCAGATTGGACCCGCAGAAATTTCCCTTCGGGCGTTGTTATCCCATCCCCCCATCAGCAAAGCCCAGCCCTGGCCATAAAGCCGAGCCTGGCAGCAGCAGGAACTCTCCCAGCACCCTGTGGTTTGGTTTTTTAGTGCCTCAGGGGAGGCAATGAGGACTCCAGGACTGAGATTAAACCCTGCCTCGGGCTCGGAGCGGATCCACGGAGATTCCCAAATCTCCGGGATGAGCCTGCCCTGCTCCCCGGCGCAGCTCAGCCGCTCTCACAGCCCCACCGAGGCTCCCAGCTCCCAAAAAATTCCACATTTGGAGCAGGATTCCCCGTCTGGGTGGGAGGGGTTGGGACAGGAAGGGATATTTCTGGAGCAGGTATTTCCCCTCAGCGGGGAAAGCACAGCCCGGGAGCGTCGGCTTTCCCTGCTGAGCCACCGGCAACGGGAGCGGGGTCCTGGAAGGGAGGAGAGAGCCGGGCTGAGCCCACCCAGAGAGGGCAAAACCCACCAGAGAGGGCTAAAATCAACCAGAGAGGGCTGAACCCACACAGAGAGGGCTAAAATCACCCAGAGAGGGCTAAAATCACCCAGAGAGGGCTGAAATCACCCGGAGAGGGCTGAAATCGCCCGGAGAGGGCTGAAATCGCCCGGAGAGGGCTGAAATCACCCGGAGAGGGCTGAAATCACCCAGAGAGGGCTGAACCCACCCAGAGAGGGCTGAAATCACCCAGAGAGGGCTAAAATCACCCAGAGAGGGCTGAACCCACACAGAGAGGGCTAAAATCACCCAGAGAGGGCTAAAATCACCCAGAGAGGGCTGAAATCACCCGGAGAGGGCTGAAATCACCCGGAGAGGGCAAAACCCACCCAGAGAGGGTTAAAATCACCCAGAGAGGGCAAAACCCACCCAGAGAGGGTTAAAATATCCTAGAGAGGGGTGAACCCACCCAGAGAGGGGTGAAATCACCCAGAGAGGGCTGAAATCACACAGAGAGGGCTGAAATCACACAGAGAGGGCTGAAACCATCCGGAGTGGGCTGAAATCACTCAGAGAGGGTTGAACCCACCCAGAGAGGGCTGAAATCACCCAGAAAGGGCTAAAATCACCCAGAGAGGGCTGAAATCACTCAGAGAGGGTTGAACCCACCCAGAGAGGGCAAAAAAATCAACCAGAGAGGGCTGAAATCACCCAGAGAGGGCAAAAATCACCCAGAGAGGACTGAACCCACCCAGAGAGGGCTGTAATCACCCAGAGAGGGGTAAAATCACTCAGAGAGGGCTGAAATCACACAGAGAGGGCAAAAATCAGCCGGAGAGGGTTGAACCCACCTGGAGAGGGCTGAAATACCCAGAAAGGGCTGAAATACCCAGAAAGGGCTAAAATCACTCAGAGAGGGTTTAACCCACTCAGAGAGGGCAAAAAAAAATCAACCAGAGAGGGCTAAAATCGCCCAGAGAGGGCTGAACCCACCGAGAGAGGGCTAAAATCCCCCAGAAAGGGTTAAAATCACCCAGAGAGGGTAAAATCCACCCAGAAAGGGCTAAAATCACCCAGAGAGGGCTGAACCCACCCAGAGAGGGCTGAAATCACCCAGAGAGGGCTGAAATCACCCAGAGAGGGAAAAAAATCACCCAGAGAGGGCGGAAATCACCCAGAGAGGGCTGAACCCACCCAGAGAGGGCTAAAATCACCCAGAGAGGGCTGAACCCACCCAGAGAGGGCTGAAATGACCCACAGAGGGCAAAAATCACCCAGAGAGAGCTAAAATGACCCAGAGAGGGCTAAAATGACCCAGAGAGGGCTAAAATCACCCAGAGAGGGCTAAAATGACTCAGAGAGGGCTAAAATCACCCAGAGAGGGCTAAAATGACTCAGAGAGGGCTAAAATCACCCAGAGAGGGCTGAAATCACCCAGAGACGCCTGAATCCACCCCAGGAGCTCCCCCAGCAAATTGCTGAAAATCCTGAGAATTCCTCGGGGCCGCAGTTGGAAAAGGGAAGGCAGGGGAGGCCTCACCTTCGTGGACAGCGATGATRTGGGGGTGGTTGAGGGAGGACATGATCTCAATCTCCCTCCGGATGTGGACAAGGTCCTGCTCATCCTTGATCTTGTCCTTGCGGATGGATTTGATGGCCACCTGCGGATGAGGGCAGAGTTGAGAATTCCCAAAGTGAGAAATCCCTGAGTTATTTTGGGAAGGGGCGAGYGAGCGAGRTCCCCACAGCCCMRCAGAGCAGCTCCATGAAAAAGCTCCCAGAAAAAGCAAATTTTTATAATTTTGGGGTTTATTTTTCCCA